AACCCTGGCGATGTCCTCGCATCTCTACGAAGCACCGTTGTAGCATATGTGTGTAGATGATGCCAAGGACTGTACTCAATCATGACACTTTTCCACATCCTGCCGGGTGCACGCATGCTTGAAATAGCTCGGTCAAGTCGTGATCATCTGACCGTTCTCTTTCCCCGCCCATCAGGACTCTTTCCTGAATAGTTAGGCTCTCTATACACTCCCTGGCTCTCCTTTTCACTGTTTGTCTCCGCGCCGAACAATGTCCACGCAATTCGACCCGAACAACGCGCAAAATCTCATAGAGGTGCGCTCCCTTCCGCCTCCCGGTGCTAAAGGAGCTGCCACCGACCACCACTTGCCCAACTAGATAGAGAAGCAGTAAGTTATCTGCGGCGTAGGTTAGGGAAAGACCTTGGTGCCAGACTGACTCCGGAGATATCAAGGTTCGCCGTGAAGGCCGTGGAGCATGCCCAGGTGCGTGTCCTCCGCTCGCCTCGCGATCGACCGCGGCGACTCACAACCCCGTCATCAGACGTATTGGAACATACTCGAGAAGGTGAACCCGCGCGTGCTCAAGTTGACCAAGTAAGCCAGGATGCATGGCTGCCTGCGCGTCTGTGTGCTCACGCCGCTGCGCAGGCTGGACGATGAGATCTTCGAGCACACCATGGCGACGTTCCCGGAGCTCGCAGAGGCGCCGCACGACAAGGTCCTGAAGATCGACGAGGACTGGATGAAGAGCGCGGACGGGAAGGCGCGGTGGCGCAAGTTCATTGAGACGTGCGTGCGGTCCCCCTCAGGGCTTGTTGCTGTCGCACCAAGCCGTCGCGAAACGGTAGATACCAGGACAAAGTAAAGGACTACAACTTCGGCTCGCTGATTCGGACCGATGCGCGCTTGGAGTACGGAGAGGCGAACACAATCTTCGGTGAGCGTGCCCCGTCCTGACACAGCATCTCACGCCGCTGAGCCACTCCCCATCAAGTGACACGAATACAGGCCGGTCCCCTCTCTTGACATTACGTGTATGCCACTGACTCCCTTCATGTGTCGCAGTTCTACGCTTTCGAGGTGTGTTTCCTTGGCATTCTTCATTCAGTATCTTGTTTGTGCTCAAAATGGTCCTCAGATCGCGCGGAACAGGCTGGGTCTCAATGACACTGCCCACGAGATCGCGAAGATAGAAGCCGTGAAGGAGAAGGAGAAGAAAGAGAAGGAAAAGGAAAAATCTAGAAAGAGGACAAACGGGAAGTAGTGCCGTCATTTGGGACGTTGCCTGCTGATTCCTCAGGCTGTAGTTTCATACTCTTGCATATTCAGCAGCTTGACAGGATGATGACATTGTCCGCCACACAGCGGCCAACGATTGAAGGTGTGGCAGTATGATCACTCGGCTGAGCATAAAACCTGTATTACATTCTCATAGTCTGCATATTTCCATGGACAGTACAACATCGCATATAAACGTCACTACATTCTGCCTTCGATAGATTCCGCGGTGCATTTCAACCAAACATTACTTCGCCTCCTGCCTCATACGCCTGCCGGACGGGGAGGTCTTGACTAGTCCTGCGCATCGCGCTGCATGATCTGCACGGCCTCCATCAGGACGTCCCAATCGAATTCCAGCGTCTCCCACAACGCGCAGCTGTCAATCCCCAGCCCCGCCGCATTCCTCCACAGTCCGAACATTCTCTCCACCAGGAACGAGAGCATGTCCTCCTGCGCGGACCGCGCAACCTCCTTGGCGTACGCAAGTACGCGCTGCTCGCGCAAGGCCTGGCTGGACTCGCGTGGCTCGGGGATAGGAATTAACTGCGCGTGCAGCTTGTCCACGTCATGCGTGTACAGGAACCGCTCGAGCAGGACGAACGTAGGGAGGTGCGGGACCACGAACGGGACCACAGGCAGCCGCACCATGTTGTCGGCAGGCCGTCCGCCGGGTTCTGGTGCCGGATGGGCGTGATGGCGGGATGGGATCTGGGGAACGACGGCGCGCGGGAACAGTACGCGAGAAAGACGACCGCGTGCACGGGGTAGAGCATCGCGGCGCGGCCGTGTCCCATGTCATGCGCGATGCGCTCTGCGGGCGACGCGGTGTCGCTCAGCGCATGCTCGTACACGGCGAGCAGGTGCGTGGGGCAGAACGCAAGCAGCGAGTCCGAGAGGCCGAAGTTCATCTCCGGGGGAAACCCGGTGGGGGGCGGTTCGACCCGGAAACCTCGGTACGCCGCCACATATCTGCGGGAGAGTAATATGAGCATGTCGAGTGCGGGGGGCTACGCCACAGGAACGTACTGAGGTCCATGGGAAAGCATGCCCCTGCGGATGTAGTCCAGAGGAACGGGGACCATAGTCGGCTCGTACGCGTAGACGTTTCTGAGGTAGACATCCGGCATGTCTTGGGGCTTTTCCAACTTCTTAGGATAAAGCGTCGCATCTGGCGCCTTAATCAGTTGGGGTGACTGGGCCAGTCGCTGTGCCTGTAGACTCGGAGGGTGAAGGAACTCGTCCGACATGGGCATTCGAGCTCTCCTCGTAGCCGAGTGAAGAAGGTGTCGGGGAGTCTCCAAGGAGTCCGAAGGAGATGCCCCTGAGGCTAGCTTCACTTTGTGCGAGCTCAGCGGTGCCATGGTCGAGCGCGAAACGATGTTCAACCAAAGGCGAGCTGGGAGGAGGAAAAAGTGGGAAATTTGCGACAGAGAAACATGGCAACGGGCCAGTACTCGTTTTATACGGGGCCAAGGCAAATACCTCATTGCGCGGCATGTTTGTCGATGACAGCAGTCGAGAGAAAGCAATTTGGTGGAGAGCGATTGGAATTCACCTGTTCAGGCAGTTGTTTGGGTTCAGCGCAAAGGTGGACCCATACGCACAAGCACATACAAACATGCGCCCTCAACTCCGGTCCGTCACAGGGACACTGCAGACGCCGATCACCGTCACGTCCTTGAAAGACACGCATTGTGCAGCTCATCTGGAGACATTGTTCTGAACAGGGAACAATGCCCCTTGGCCATTTCGGAGAATAAGAGTGCAACCAACATTCATGACGGGTATCCCACAGCAACGACAATGCAATCCTACTCACCTGTGGTCCAAAGCATAGCAACAGACATCATCTGGTGCGGAAGGTGTGAAACCTGCATGAAAAGTGAATAGCACTCAAGAGACACATTGTGAGCGTCGGAAGAGAAGAAGGAAGAGCCCGCCTTTGTCTCGCGCCACGGAGAATGTGTCTTACGTACATCTGCCCATGTCATCAATAGACATCCGTCAACAATGGGCCGATCCAAGAATGACTGGAATCAGCATACAAAGAATATGCACTGACCTGATATCGCAGACCGAGTAGCATTTCGAGGACGAGCAGTGTAGTATCGGGCTGAAGTATCCACGACGCACCAGTGGGAGAGAAGCGTATGTGCGGATACTGAGGGGAAGGAGTAGTCAGCCACCAACATTGAATCGTTCAACGAACCGACGCGGCACGGCACTCCAGGAATAATGTAATGGTGCATGTGGTGTTCGGCGACCACTGAGTGTTGCATAACGGCTGAAGTCTTGCAGGAGCGCCAAACGACGAGCAAGGAACAAGATCAAGCCATCCCGCGAGTAGCCAATAGCCAATAGTGAGGTCGTTGAGGATGCGAGTCATGAGCGTGAGTTCGAACCACTCGCAACGTTGCGATGTGAGGCCCAGACGATACCACGCTGTAGCAACTTCCAGAACGGAGAGCAGAGAACCAGCAAGCAGATAGTATGATGCGGCGGCAGGTAACGCGTAGAGCGGGTACGAGGGAGAATGCGCGAGGGAGCCGTCGCAGTCATTGATACGGCAGGTGTCGCCTGTGTGGACCAATAGCCACAACCGGCTGGCCGTTAGCTGCGCCGTACAATTTGTGCCTTCCTAGGTACTATAGACCGATGCGAAAATTGCACCAGTGAGGACTGTTTATGAGTAATGTGCGTGAAAGTCAACTCGTAGTAAGGCGACACCACCTACCTCGATCTAGGAATTAAATGATGTCTGGATATTGTACAAAGAGCCCGGTTGAATGGTGATCAAAGGTGAGAAAGTGAGGAGACAGGTGTTAAATTCACACGGGTCCTACAGCTCGCCGTGGCCACTCTATCTCGTCGAAGTGGCCGGAGAAACCAATGTGCGAGCTGGACCCATGCCAGGACGGTGGCCAGAATAAAAGCGCCACAGCCACAAGTTGAACTTTGGAGAGACGCTGAAATAAAGCGGATGAAATCATAAAAAATCCGTCCAGTTTCTAAAAGGCTGTCGGCGACATCCAAAGTCCCTAGAAGGGGGATGGTTGGGGGAGGGGAAAGGAGACAGACGGTTGGATTGAACCGCAAGCTCCCTTTAAATACGATGATCAGAGGACAATGCGAAACAGAACCGCCGCCGATCCAGACTGCGCTCGCAAGCCAGGAAATGAAGTTCGCGTGGCTATAAAGTTTAATATCCCCGGTCAAATGAACTTCGCTACAACGTAAACAGCCAGATGCAGATTACTACCTTGTTCAACATGCGTACATCGGCGGTTACGCTGATGCCCCTAAATGGTGTCCGTGAACAATTGTGTTCACAACCAACCTGGTCTGATAACTTAGTGTTGTTAGGGCAGACGAAATACAGACACTCTTTTCGAAGCACATCGCCACGGTTCGAAGGCGCCCCCGCGTAGCATACAACCTTAGGAGAATGTGCATATCGGTGCTTGTATGCATACCACTGTCACTTCGTTCATGTCAGGCTCAAGTGATAAGTTTCAAGAGCCACGCTTACCTCACGCGGAAGGTGGCGCCATACGTTCCAAATTCTGATTATTCTATCGTCCGACATGTTGAGACAGAAAAAACAGTGGTTGCAGACTATGGAGACTCGCGCTGGCGCTACGCAAAGACTCGGAGAGCAAGTAGCAAGACGGAGCTCGAGGCCCGATCACAGTTGTATCGGTGATGATTCAGAGCGGGTAAATAAAAACACACGAGAATGCCCCATGGCTGAGTTGGTTACAGCGTCCGACTGTTATAATCCATAGGTAGCATGATAATCGGAAGGTCGTGAGTTCGAGCCTCACTGGGGCAGTGTTTTTGTCCCGTCCCATTCGAGCAGCTGGTCGCCGGGAACGACGATAATGCACTCTGCATATCTATGCTACAGACAAAGCAATCGTACTCTGGAGACTAGCAACGAGTTGGAGGAAAATAGGCAGGGCTTGTTGAGCCCGTATATATTGAGCGTTCAAGCAATAGCATACATCCGAGTCCACACGCCTCGATCGGAGGTTTTCAGGGCCAAGGCGAATGTTCCCGTTGCATGATGATCTCTAGTACTGTATCCGCGTTAACCTTAGGCTATAATGTAGAATTAAGGACGGCTGTTACGCGTCCGTCACACTTAATTTCTCCAGACTGCTGCTCCATTCGATGACTTTGGGATGTGCCTTGACCTGCATGGACAGAAAAATCCGGATCGTTACGCGCAATTTTACGACACCTGCAACAGTACGGCGCACCTTCTTAGCATCAAATCCAAGGACTTGGAGGCCTTCGAGGGTGGCCGCACGAGAAAGTGCGACATAGCTTTGCCCTTGACGAAACACAAGACGATCAGAGGAGCGCCACGACAACCCTACTGCGCGGACCTACCCTTCTCAAAGACGCGCCGCAGATCAATCTTGACCAACTGGATCGTCTGCCCTTGACTCTTTGGATCGACATGGCCCACGCGAGGACAAGAGGCACCTGCAGAAAGAACAAAGAAAGATCCAGCCTCCGACGCACCCAGAGGAACGCCGTCGACACGCACCTGCACCCGCCGCGCGAGCAGCTTCCCCTCGTTGTCCTCCACGCGGAACTCCTCACGCCCCAGCAGGACGACCTCCGTGCCCTGCGCCGTGCGAAACTCCACAAGCGGGAACAGCTCCTCCTCCTTCGCGGCGCCCTTGCCCTTCGACTCGGGGCGCTTCTGCACGCCCACGTTCTCCTTGCCCGCACCCGCCCCGGCCGGCGTCCGCCCGTCCAGCCCGACCTGTACGTTCCGGACGGTGCTGCCGCTCTTTGGTGGGTCCTGCGCCACAGAGCGCGGCTTGGACCCCACGCTGGAGCTCGGCTTGGCACCCGCGCTGGAGCTCGGCTTGCCACCCACGCTGGAGCTCGGCTTAGCCCCCGCGCTGGAGCCCGGCGCACTCTCGAGCGGCGCAACGGACGCTGCGCACGCAGCGGCGCTGAAGAAGCCGAGTACGCGGCCGACACAGCCGTTGACGAGGCGCTCGTCGACGTTCTTGACAAGCATGACCTGCGCGTCCGGCTTGAGCACCAGGCGCGCAGGCGCGACCATCTGCTCGAGCATGCGCTGCGCGGTGCCCGAGTCGCGCGATGTGTAGGTGTGCACGGGCCCGGGGAGCGCGGCGAGTCGTGTGCTGTTGGCGCGCTCGACCTCTGCGCGCAGCGGGTAGAGCTCGGTCGGGAGGAGGCCGCTGGGGAGCGGCTGGAGGGGGCGCGAGAGGGACGTGAACGTCTTCTGGGCCGAGGGGGAGATGGTGCCGTGGCGGAGTTCGTTGAGGAGGGACACAAACTCTGCGGCGGATAAGTGGGCCGAAGGCGAACAGGGCAAATGCGAAACGTACGTGTGTCCGTTTGACGATAGACTTGCGTCAGAGTGATGGTATGGTCAATGCACTTCTTCCATGCCTCGGACTCGAAGGCAAATACCGGCTGGGCCCTGTCCTTTGTCACCGGGGGTAGCTGGAAGAAGTCCCCTGTGATGACGAGCTGCATAAAATGTGTTTCGTGAGCTCTGGTGATTGTCACGAAGGGTTGAGCGCACTTGTATCCCGCCAAACGGTTTGTCAGTTTTCTTGCGCAGTTTGTCTGCGAGAGAAGCCAGCATGTCGAAAAGCTGGCCATCAACCATCGATACTGAGGAAAGGTCAGTTCGTACACCCAATCACGGTCGCTTTGCACGCTGACCTTCGTCAATGATCAAGACCTTTGTCGACTTCCAGCGCTGGTGGGCGGGCTTGCACGTCTTGATGCAGCTTATTTGTCTTTCAATGTTGTGCAACCCTGGGGTTACTGCACCCCACGAATGAATCGTCATCCCTAGGCGGTAACATCAGTAAAGGCTTGCTGAATACAATGTCAACGAGTAGAATTACCGCCGATGTTCGAGGCAGCCATTCCGGTGCTCGCAGTGACAGATATGACGTCGGTCTTCTTGGCGTGCTTCCTGCGCAAAGCTGCAATGATTGAGCGAAGTAAGAGAGACTTTCCGGTACCTGCGAAGGCATCGAGTCCGTAGATCAGCACTGCAGTATAGCGAGAAGCCGGATGCATATAGCGCGGAAAGGACTTACCAGCAGCGCCGGTGAAAAAAATGTTTTTGCCCTCATCGACCACCATCCGCAACACCTTGTTCTGCTCGGCGTTCAGCGCGACGGTTGCCCTGGCGTGCGTGGCGTCTTTGGAGACAGGCGAGGCGAGTACCTCTGGAGAAAAGAACGCATCGAGGGTCTGACGCGGACGTTTGGTGTCCTTGGCAGGTTCGATGTCCCCGGTCGATTTGCGCTTCTTGGTGTTGGTGGAGACGTTGGCCAGTGCCGCCGTACGAGCCATTTGCGGGAGTCGCTGCAGGAAGACTTGATGACAAGTACTGAAAGAGGCGAGGAAAGAGTGACCTCAAGTGTAATAATTCGCGACGCAGCAGCAGAGTGCTGGACGGGGCAGACGGGGCACGACGATGTGGTGGTCGTCTTGAAAGGAGCCTGAGGGCCACAAGCGAGAGTCGCGGCGGCAGTTGAACCGCTCTGGCGCGTCGCGGTCATGTGATGCAATTAGGTAAGGTGGCCATTGCGTCCTCCAATTGAACTTGTTAAAAGTACTAGACTTATACAGTGGTATACTCACGGGCCTGCATTACAATGCACTCACAGGTACACAAGCTATATACTATGAAGTTAGACCGCCCCTATAGAATCAGTCTGAACTAATTGCCAGCTGCACCAGTTTCTCCAGCTTCTCGTCAAGAACCTCCGCCGCCTTCTTCAGCTCCTCGTTCACCCTCCCCCCTACTGATGCTGCAATGAGCGAAGACGGCAGGATGTAAACGACCCTGGTTCCGTCGTGGTCCGCCTTCTGGAGCACCAAGAGGCGCGGAGGGACGTGAAACCCCGCACGGAGATCGTGCTGCAGCATCGTCTGCGCGATCAAGGGATTTCCGAACGTGTACAGGTGCGTCTCCGGCGTGTCGTCCCTTCCGTACCACCCGTTCAGCCAGACGTGATGTGGCAGCGCCGAAAACAGTCTATTTGCGTCCAAAGTTGAACGCGAGCCGGCGGGACAGGTACGAATCCACATACGTAAAGTCCTTGCCGCCATTTACTTTGTGCATCTCTTCTTCCACCTCCTCTCGCGAGCTTGCCTTTGCTAGGGCTTTCCACCACGTCGGGTCGACCTTGCCCTTGCTCAGTGCCTCGTCTAATCGAGCGGTGACGACGGCGACTGGCAGGGACGTCTCGTATGTGATCCTCTGGGCTGTGAACTCTTCGATAACCTTTGACATGGCGAGCTGGTCTGCACAGGCGAGGTGTCGGTCTTGGCTGCTATTGTAGCGGAAGGGAAGTTCGCGTTGACCATCCGGCGATGCTCTGATCCTCAGATTGTTACGCATTTAGGAATCTCGTCCCAACCTTTACTCTTGTGATAGGGCTCACACACGCCCATCTTAGTTACTTCTGACCGGTATGAGAGTGACAACGCTCTGCTACATGTCGGATATCGCCGCGATTGGTGCTCATCATGTGAAGCTTCGCAGCGTTCGGTGAGGCGTATGGGCGTCTTTTGCCACAATCTGCCACTCCGAATTCGCAGTGCGTCTTTTGTGTTGCTGAAATCTCATTTGGACTAATTGTGACACTCATCTGAATGCGTTGAGATCCCCATCTGGTGCATGCTCTGTGACGTTCTCAGCTGGATTCAGGCGAGCACCAGAAATGAGAGTGCATTCCGACGCCAATGATACCTGCCGTGGCGGACTGAATCACCAGGGAGTCCTGGTGAAATATCCACCGTGAGTTCTAAGAAAGATTCCTGCATGGCATGCTAGTCCTGTGATATCTCTACTCTGTAGGTCCACTGGGACCCGACGACTGCGAAGTATGACACCAATATCGATGATCATGTCACTGGGGTCCCAGCGGGTAGAAGAAGTATGTGGCTCAGGCCTTGCGTGTTCACTGCATAGCTCGCAAGAAATCATGGGACCGGGCAGTTGTCCGCTCGCACACAACACACCGTTTCCAATGACCATCTTCAGCCCTCGAACCTCATGTACAACATCCTGCGGATGGGCCCCTCGAGTTTCCGCTCCACGCCTGCGCTTATTTGAGCGTTGGCTCCGATTTAAGCGCTTCTCTAGTGCTTCTCTCATTCGGCCTCGAAGATCGGTGTGGCGATCTTGGACCGCTGGACTGCGGATCAGTCATCAGCAAGGCCTTAGCATTGCTAGATGCAAGACTGGACGTGCCTTGCTCAATGTGATCCAGCGAAAAAAGCTGATAAGCGGTACTTATGCAGCGGCCCGCTACACGAGTCTGGAATTCTGCAGCAGTGACACGCCTCCGCCTCATGGACGGAGCTCCTTGATGTTCGGAGTAGGTACTGAATTGACAGCGTCCTCATTAGTGGGCATACCAAGCGCGGGACGGAGAGATGTACTGACTTCTGAGATCATGATATTTGGACTCGGAACCGACATACCTCTAGCAAGTTCTACGGAGCGGAATGTGCATTGATGTTTCGTAGTGAGTACATTCAACGTAGGCCTGCTCTGCTGCAAAGGCCGTCCTCTCGGTAATGTGTGTGGCAGGCAAGGTGAACTGTACTCCGGGCAGGCGAAATGGTGAGAAGGCCACTTACCGGTGCTGGTGGAAGCTGCATTCTTCAGATTATGCGTGCAACGTGGGGGTGCTGATAGAATGAACAGGAGAAGAGGAACACTGATGGGGGTTACTCGTCGAACGCACTTTCCGTAAACAGGGAGAAGCATTTGGTGCATCTCAAGCCTGAGTAATGCCTGCGGACGCG